CTAGCAAATCCCTTTACTTGTCACCATTTCCTCATCTGAACACCTACCTATAAGTAGTGAAGGAAAAGTGGTTGAGGAAGTCCCTGGCTCACAGTCAGCATTCCATAAATAAGTGACAGCCACCACTTCATCAAGTTAATAGCACTAACCTTTTTAAGCCAATTAGATACCATTTAAATAAAAAAGTTTCATGCGATAACATTACTTCCTCATTCTGAAAGATGGAAATAGTGATTTTCAGTTAACATATTTCCTAAAGGAAGAATTTGATACAAGTGCTTCTTTAATCCCTGTCCTTGTAATAATCACTTTTGTCCGATTCAAACACCTACCTTCTTATTTTCAGTGCTAACCTGGTGCGAAGAGGTCCAGTAGCCACTCCGCTCCTTCTCACAGTAATAAGAACCCCATACTGCTTTTAAGGTGCTAGTTTTCAAATTTAAGCTTCATTTGAATCACCTGAAGGGCCTGTTAAGACAGCTTACTGGGTTCCTAATTAAGCAGGCCTGGGGGAGGCACAATGAAGTGTAGTTCTAGCAAGTTCTCAGGTGAAGCTGATTCTGCTGGTCCAGCCACACTTGAACCAATGCTTGGGGGAGACCAGCCCTTCCCTGCTCAGCTCACATGCTAGGAAGGAAGATGTCTCCACCCTCAGGCTCCTCTGGGAGTAGGGCCATGACCCAGGCCTGAATCAACCTGCCTCAGTGACTGGGATAGGGCTGGACACATAAGAAGTCTCAAGTTCTCTCTCAGTCTTTTGTTGAGACTCTTTCTGCTAGATTTTAACCTGGAAAGATACAGCTGTGGGAGGCACTGGCAGCCATCTTGTGGCCATCAGGGAGAGCCTGCCCAGGACTGGAACAAACCCCCACAGGGCCCATCTAGATAAAAGGGTTTGAGTTCTGAATCAAGACCTGCCTGGAGTCAAGTCCCCCTGGGACCTGCCAGCTTTCATGAGACAATACTTCCCTTTTTGCCTAGACAAGTTCGTCTCAGATCTCCTGCCACTTATAACAGAATCTCCAAAACTAAGGTTGTTTTTATTTGTTTGGGCTCCCAAATAGCAATTACTCTTACCATTTAATTGTATTCAATACCCCCAAGAAAAATATCTCAACCAATTTACTAACCAAAAGAAGGTAAAAAAAAATAACTTGGGAATTTAAACAACCTACCTAAACAGAACACATATCTCCCCAGGTTAACCTACAAATTTAAAGTACTTCCAATCAAACCCCTACAGAATGGCCAATTACAAGATCTGCAACTTTACAAAATTCAGCAGTAACAATTTAGAATATACAATGGAGAAATTTTTTATTCATAAGTAACACAGAAAATGTGATTCCGAGACATATCTAAACCAGAAAGGCACAGCATGGTTATGAAGAAAACCATGTTGCTTTGCAGGGAGTGGGAGGGATGAAGCTAAGAGGCAGCAAAATATGTTTCTGGCTAGAAAAACTCAATTTTGTAAAACTATTGGGCATTCCCAAACTAATCCACAGTGTATGAAACGCTCATACAAATCCATAAAAAACAGCTGACAAGCTCAATAAAAACAGGAAAATGGCCAAAGGAAATGAGGAGGCTGTTAACAGAAGAAAAACAAGTAGATAATAAAGATACTAAAAATAAGAAATGTGCTCAACCCGATGGGGAGGACTGGGGAATCCGGAGTCACCAGTGCGCCCCGCATGTGCAGCAGCGCTGTGTTTCTGGAGGGTCATGTGATGGTAATCTGCATTAAACACTTTAAAATATGCATTTTTCACTCAAAAACTTCACTTCCAGAAGCTCACCCTACTAGGACTCAAGACTGTTCATTACATTATTTCTAATAAAGCAAGAAAGGAATGAATGACGGAATGATGGAGGCAGGGAGAAAAGGAGGGAGGGAAGCTGTTTAAGTATTTACTACCTGGATAGGGATTAAAAATCAGGCATTTGTTGTACTTCTGTGAATTGAATTCATCCTTTAAGAAATTCATTATTTAAAAAGCATTGCTGTCATCTTCTGAATGTGGAAATACCTTCATTATTTACCTTCATTATTACAGGAAGAATTTCCTGTAATATTGTAGTCATTTATTTAGAAGATACCTAACTGGCCTAAAATTAGGTATAAATTAGGTATACCAATTTTGGACATGTTTAGAATAGAATATGATTATATGATTAACATATGTTCAATGATATACATTTACATATAGGTACACCCAAAAGGGAAAAGCAGGTTACAAAATAGTACCTATAAATAGAGTGTTATATTTTATAAATATATGTATTTATATTCATTTTTGTATATTTATGATAAAAGGTCCAAAGAATTTAAATACAACTTTTTTTGGTTATTGCTGGGTAGTAGTATTATAATTTTTAATTTCCTCTTTTCACTTATATTTTCTCAAGTTGCTAAAATTAATATATATCCTTTTAATTATAAGAAAGACAAACAATATAAATGTTAATTTTTTTTTACAAAAAAAAAAGTCAGCAATGACTATGAGTTGAGGAGCAAAGTACAGCAGGTCATCTTTCTCCTTTCCTTTGATTCATACAGTGTAACACGACAGTGTGCAGCCAATCCCTCTGTACAGCACTTAGTGGAAGCAGCAAAAAAACAACCCCTGAGACTGCTACCTCCTGGCACTCATTTAATTCTTCATTCGATCAAGTTATTTGCTGATCCCCTACCATGGGCCAAGCACGGTGCCGGGGAAGCTATTTAAATAACATCTGTTCTTCAGACTATAAAATGAGACTCAAGATGCATTTGGTGAGTTAAAGTGCTTTTGTTTTCTCATAATTAGATTTTTCACCTACGACAGGCTTCATACCCTGCATATCCTGTGTGTGATTTCCGGTCGTGTGTCTCACAACGCTCCTTCCCCACCGTCACTCATAATCCCTGGAGTCCGACCCACGGTGCCAGAAAGGGTGCTGAAAGCACCATCGTGGCATCCTTGACACACCTCAAAACCCACCAGTGCCAGGAATATCTGCAGATCGCCCTGGTGCAGTGAGCTCTGAGGAGATGATGTAGCTGCTGCTTATCATTACTGACCATCTGCGAGAGAGTGGCTGGTGCCTTCAAGCTCCATCAGAAGAAAGGAAACCCTACAGATCAGACCCTCCCTCACGGCGCAGCCAAATACCTTGGCAGTGTTACAACAGCCCCATTTTGTGGTTTATTCCTTCTGTGAGAAGAACTCATCATCTCCAAAGAAAAGTCTATTACAGAAAATCAATGAAGAGTGAACCGACAGACATGTAACATGTAATAAATCCTGCTCATGAATTATTGAGTAACTTGTCCATTACAGCTTTTAATATCTTGGGCAAGCTAGTGATTTCTGAAAAGTAATATAAAACTCTTTAAGTGGATATGGAAGTTGGGAGAACTACATCTCATCCTTTTCTTATCCAGTTGCAATTAAAACAATTTCACTGATAAAATTCCTATTTTATATTTAAAAGAAGAAGAAGAAAAAAGTCTCCCACCCTCTCTCTCTAGTTCTAGATCAATACATATATGTTGGGTCTAGTAAGAACGCTAATGAGTAGATCTGCAACTAAATGATTCCAGGGATAAATGCTGCTGATGCAAATTCAGTTAAACCCAATAATTATTTACTGAATGTTTTCTAAATACAAGACACCATGAGCTTTATAAAAATAAAATGGCCTCTGCCTTCCACTACCTCCCAGTCAAATGATAAGCACAGATAATCTACATAAATAATTTTATTGCAAGATCAATTTGATGCCTCTAACAACAGAATAATAACAATGGATTCTATTGGCTACAGGCACAGCTCTGGGGGCAGACTGCCTGCACTGGAATTGTGATTCAAACCCCTCACTAGCTATGTAACTTTGACAAGCTACTTAACCTTCTTTTAGTTTCTTTACCTGTAAAATGAGGATAATAGTGGTATCTACCTCATAAGGTTACTGTGAGGATTAAATATGGCACAAATTGTTAATACTGGTAGAGTTAATACAAGCATATGAGGTAAGCATGGGCTGATTATGATAAGGATCTAGGAGTGCAGTCCAGAGGAATGGAATCGGTGGCCAAGTTTAAATAATGGTAAGAACTGTACTGTGCAGGGATGGGAGGGAAGGGCATTTCCCAATTAGGGATCAAGCTGAGCAGACGCCTGCGGAAAGCGAGAAGGGAGTTGGCGATGGCTGAGTAGGCTGGGGTGGCTACAGTACCAGGCATCCCAGCTGTAGGTACTGGGGGGCAGAATAAGTAGCACGAGGTAGGCTGGGAGCTGACTGGAGGAGGTGTTGAATGCCAGGCTAACGAGTCTGATGTTATTCTGTGGGTAATGGCAGCTCAAGAAGCCGGGCACCACAGTGTTTACAAGCATGGATGCCGGATTTGAACATGGCTCCACCTCTCAAGAGCTGTGTGACCTTGGGCAAGATACTTAATCTCTTTGTGCCTCTAGATTCTCACCTGTAAAATTGGTTGTGGTGAGGATCAAGTGCGTGTTGATATGCAAAGTGCTTAGAACAGTGCCTGACATGCAGTGACAAATGGCCTACGCCACCTCTTCCTGTCATCCTGAAACAGGCCTTGAGAAAGTTAGTAGCAGGTGGTATTGGTAATAGTATGGTCAAGGACTTAAGGATACGAGATTGCTTTTCTACTACTCAAAAAATACCACCATGAAAACGAATGCTTTCTTTTTGACGAAAGCTCCCATGGTTCACAAAGAAATTTTACCTCAAAGGAACAGATGAAGTGAAAGCTGACATTAAACTAAAGCACACATACTACAAAGCCCAAGACTTCAACAGATCACAGTGGCCTATGCAAGGTGGCAAAATGCACCATTTACGAAAAGACAGCATCTGTGCTAACTTTTGAATGATGGTTAAAGTCTGGATATGTAGTGGTAGGAGAGAAAGGCATGAGCTGAATGCATAGCTGAATGTATGAGCTGAACGTGACCACTCAGACAACCTCTAAGGCAAGAACTTACTTCCAGATCCATCCCTGACTCTAGGTCCTTCAGGCTTGGCCTCAGAAATAATGTTTGCATTGGCATTATTCTCCATCTCGATCACAAAGTCACTGTCCTCTTCAAACTCAGGGTGGCTGAAGATCCAATCCAGTGCTCTTTCCAGGTTATGATTCTAATAAAATAAAACAATTTTACAATGCATGCAGTCCTCAGACTTCACTATATCCCGACCATCTGAGCCAGAAGTCAAGCAGATGGGGCTGGAGGCCTGAATTCATTAGTCCTAAGTGCCTCCGAGTAAGAAGCTCTGACTCTGCATATGAAATGCACGTTCAGTTGGCATTCTGCAAGTCTCCCTGACTGAAGTCTGTAATTGGATATGCTGGAAAAGTTCTGAGCAGCAGGTCAGCACTCCAAAGCCCACATCAGTCTTAGCTCAGCATTTCTGTGGGTGGATGCTGATAACGATGGGTGTAGAATGCCAAAGGGTATGAAATGCAGCCCTTTCTAAAGTCACACTAATTGCACACACCACTACTTTCTCTACCAACCATATTTTCTGCAGATAACTCTGCAAGATAGAGGGGTGCCACTGTGAGTATTATGTTAGAGCCTCTTCTCCCTGAATGTTGGTAGAATGCTTGGATTGCAGTAGAGACGCGATTAATGCCTTGATTAATGATGACAACACTGGTTAGTTAAGCACAATTGTTTTAAACTGAACTCCACACTGTTCCAACTAATTGACCATAAATATATTTCCATCTTTCCCTGCTTGTGACAGCACTGGCAGGTTAAAGAATTTGTTTAGACATGGTCAGAATCTCTAATGCAACAGGCAAATAAAATAAGCAGGGCACAAAAAAGTACCCCAAGTAAAACAAACTCTGGTTGAGATATTTTGAATATTGTAAAGGGAAACAGATCATGGCAGCCACATTCCTATGAGACAGTCAAGAGCCACTGTGTCCTCAGCAACAGTCCCTAGCAGGCACCCAATCCGTTTGGCAAGACATATCAGTTGCAGACGCTCATTCAAATATGGATTATGGTGTGGCAAGAAAGAATAGGGGTTTTTATTTAAAATTTAAAAAAGTACTTTCCCTCAGTATTAATCAAGTCTCTGTACTGCAGGAGGAAGACTTCTATCTACCCTATAGTTTCACAGTCCCTTCTCTCCTGATAGTATGAGGAAGTTCATGACTACTACAAGAACCTTCTCTTTCTGCAGAAAGAAACAGCAGGAGAGAATTCCAAGGAGCCCTTCAGTCTTCTATGAGGACTTTGGAGAAACATTTCTCTAGGGTCTTGGTATCAGAAAAGCATTCTCTCTCTTAAAGAACTTTCTTATAGAACGTGGAATCTCATGGATCCCTCCTTGCTCTAAGGCCACAAGCAAGCTCCAAGTCAAACCTGTGATGCCCTGTTAACAAACACTCACGATGTTACAAAGCTTCCTTCAGTTTGGACCTCTTACCCCAGCTTTATTATCTCCTTATTCTTAAATTATCTGTATGATTTCCACAATCATTTATTTTAGCTTTATACATACTATATGCAAATAAATCTTTATGGGTCACACTGGGGTATAGAGTCAGACAAACATGATTCAAAATGATCAAAGGACACTGGCAAGTCTCAACAGAAATACAAACCACCTCCAACAAGAAAAGGGCCTTCACACACAGCTTCTCACGCTTACCGTTGCTCGTAGGGCCTGAATGGCCTGATTTCGCTGGAATCCCATGGAGGTGATGATAGCTACAATTTCCTCTGGAGGCTGGTTATCCAATCCACCAAACACAGAGGCTCCAGCAGAAGCTGCTCCTCCATAACCAGGCATGGTCAGTGGTTCAGCAAAATCTGAAAAAAATAATCACACTAAACCTTTTTTCTTTTCTTTGGTCTTGAAATAACACCAAGAAGGAAAAATACCTGTAAAGTTACAATAATTGAGACAGTCCAGTACTGGCATAAGGAAAGACAGTAAATCCACTGAATAGAATTGAGATTCTAGAAATAAACCCATATATCTAAGGTTAATTGATTTTCAACAAAATCATCAGTGAGGAAAGGACAGTCTTTTCAACAAATGGTACTGGGACAACTAGATATCCACTTATAAAAGAATGAAGTCAGACCCCTACCTCACACTATAAGCAAAATTAACTCAAAATGGATCACTGATCAAAATGTAAGAAATAAAACTATAATACTCTTAGAAGAAAACATAAGAGTAAATCTTTGTGATGCTGGGTTAGGCAATGATATTTTAGATACAACTCAAGAAGCATAAGTGATAAAAGATTTTTAAAAAAATAGATAAATTGAACTTCATCAAAATTAAAAACTTTTGTGCTCCAAAGGACACCATCAAGAAAGTGAAAACACTGCAGAATGGAAGATAATATTTGTAAATCATATATCTAAGAAATTTGTATCCACAATATAAAAAGAATGCTTAGAACTCAACAATAAAAAGACAACCTCATTAGAATGAGGAAAGAATTTGAATAGACATTTCTCCAAAGAAGATATACAAATGGCCAATAAATACACAGAAAGATACTCAACATCATTATTCATTAGGGAAATGCAAATCAAAACTACAAGATACCTATTCACACACCCTAGAATGGCTATGATAAAAAAGATAGCAAAGATTATCGAGGATGTGGAGAAATTAGCACTCTCATTCATTACTGGTGGGAATGTAAAATAGTTCAGCCACTGTGTAAAACAGTTTGGTAGTTCCTCAAAAAGTTAAACATGGAGTTATCATATGACACAGCAATTCTACTCAAGAGGAATGAAAACAAATGTCCACACAAAACCTTGTATACAAATGTTTGTAGTGGCATTATTCATAAAAGCCAAAAAGTGGAAACAACCCAAATGTCCATCAACTGATGAAAGAATAAAATGTAGTATATGCATACAATGGAATATTATTCGGCCACAAAAAAAAAAGAAATGAAGTACTGATATATGCTACACATGCATAAACCTTGAAAACATTATGCTAAGTGAGAGAAACCAGACTCAAAAGACCTCCTATGATTTTGTTTATATAAAATGTCCAAAATAGGCAAATCTATACATCCAGAAAGCAGATTAGTGGTTGCCAGGAGCTGGGGTGAGCAAGGGACCAGGGAGTGACTGCTAATGTGTATAGGATTTCTCTTGCGGTGTACAAAAATGTTCTAAAATTACATAGTGGTAATTGTTGCACACCCCTGTGAATTTAATAAAAACCATTGAAAAGCACACTTTAAATTGGTGAATATATGAATTATATCTTAATAAAGTAGATCTTTTTTAAAAGACAACTAAATGGCCTCTATTTCTTCATGCTTACGTTTCCACTTTAAGTCCTCATCATCTCTTAGCTAAAGTATATCCCACATCTTTCTAATGGTCTTTTTGGCACTGAATTACACACTTTAAAGGAGTGAATTATATCTTAATAAAGCTATTGTTTATAAAAAGAAGAAGAAAGATGAATGTCTTGACTTTGTCCCCCACTCCAGCGGATTATGAGCTGAAAAGTCATTTTCTGGGGACATGTCCACAGGGGAAATGGAGGGACCAAGGCTTAGCGTCACTGAGGACCACGTTGGACGCCAAAGCCACTGTATTTTCCCATCACCGACCTGGCTCTTCCATGTGAACAATGATCCAGTTGAAGGCCACCTCGGCGCCCATATTTCCAGTGAAGTACACGGCCTTCCGACACGCCTCTAGAGGGAAGCCCATCTCGGCCAGCTGCATCACCGATGACTCGTCAATGTCGGACGCTGCAGAGGACACACGAGAGTCTGGCATGAAAAAGTAAACTATTTCCTCTTGTCTCAGCTGCTCTTCACCCTCTCATCCACGTTATCCAAAGGAAGTACTATTTTGTTGAGTGTGTAGACATGTTTTTTTTTTTTTTTTGAGACAGAGTCTCACTCTGTTGCCCAGGCTAGAGTGATGTGGCGTCAGCCTAGCTCACAGCAACCTCAATCTCCTGGGCTCAAGCAATCCTCCTGCCTCAGCCTCCCAAGTAGCTGGGACTACAGGCATGCGCCACCATGCCCGGCTACTTTTTTCTATATATTTTTAGTTGGCCAATTACCTTCTATTTTTAGTAGAGATGGGATCTCACTCTTGCTCAGGCTTGTTTCGAACTCCTGACCTTGAGCGATCCTCCTGCCTCTGCCTCCCAGAGTGCTAGGATTACAGGCGTGAGCCACCACACCCAGCCACAGTGCTTTTACTTTTGTTTTAAGCCATCCAAATTTTAAGCTATGTGGGCTGAGTTTTTATCTTTGACCTAAATAGGAACTACATTAATTACCTGAACAATCCAAGCACTGAACAACAATTCTCTAATTTCATATGGGAGAGATTTAGTGTATTCCCAAAGCCATTTTAGCCTCTCAGATCAGTCTTAAGACTTCTACAGCAGCCTCTCCTATGACTGAAATTTGAAGAGAAAAATATTATCGATAGGCCAAAAAGCCTATTCCTTAAATCTCACAGAAAGTTACAGCAGGCCTTTAGAGACAACTAGCAATCATAGGAAGTAATCAGCTCTGGGAAATTGAGAACTCAAATGTTAAGTATAGAAGGAAAGAATGCCTTTTTAAATTGTATGCATTTAAAATATTAAAAAAAAGAGCTTTATAAACCTAACTGTAACTCAAACACAGAGGGTTTTATTTTCTTTTGTTAATAATATATGGATATAGGTAGATGCGTGTGTATACATCTGTGTGGGTATATATGTATACACATATGTTTGTATATTTATACATATGTGTATATATACATACGTGTGTATATATTAATACATACATATATCCCTTGTGTTTTCCATATCCTGAGGACTCTGCTGAAAATTCTGCCAATTTTCTGGCTATCAGTAGAAAAATTGAGAAATGGAGATATCTGTTCTACAAATATTATATTTAAAATGCATTTACCAAAGTTCCCTCTTACAAGGAAGATACACAGAACCCCCTATCAAGGTCAAATATTAAAAACAAATGATGTGGGACAACAGTGGTTTCCAAATTGTGTTCTATGGCATCCTAGTGTTCTAAGAGAGTCATAATGGTTGAATCAAAAACGGGGTTTCTAAGGTCAAATAAGTTTTTAAAATCTACATATTCTATTCTCCCCTTAGAAATGCATAATGTACATTAGCATAGTGAAAACTCAAAAGTTCTGTAATAAAGAATTCTACTACAGTAAAGAAACTATGAAACTCTTTGTGTAGAACACCTTTCAACATCTTATAAGACTAGTGCTAGAGCACAGTTTAAGAAATACACTTTAATAAGTAGTATATACATGTACATAGCATTAGATTGGAAATGTATAATTCCATTTTTGTGAAAAATAAAGTGAGCCAGCCATAGGTAGAGGGCTATACCCCAAATGTTAATAGTGGTGATGGAACCATGAATGATTCTTCTTGCTAATCCATAGTTTCTAAATGTCTTTTTACTTTTATAATAAGAAAATAACCAAAGTTATTCTTTTTAAAAAATCTGAGAAAGGTAGGATGCAAATGTCAATTTATCCCAGATAGTTCTAATTTCTTGTGTTGATTATAGACAATTGTTGATAAGACAGCATGCTTACACCCAGGAGGAACTGCATGGCCAAAAAAGTAAATACTGGGAAATGGCCATGTGCTCACGGTCGGTGGGAAGCAGACTGCTCTGGCACAATCATTTTCAACCACCTATCAGTTCCCCTGGGGTGAGATCCTGCAGGTCAGCTCTCAGCAGGATTAGGGGCATCCAGCAAACCTCTCACATGCTGGGAAAGTCTAGTGGCATGAAAAGCACACTCACTCCTAGCCCTGGTTCTGGTCACAGCCCTTGGGTCTCTGAAACTTCTCAGATCTCAGCTTTGCCATCTGTAAAAAAGTTACTTGCCCTGCCAGTCTTACTGTGATAATCAAATGAGATCTGGGACCTTGTATAATGAGTAAAGTTATAGACTGTTGAAAGAATTTACACAATAATAAATGCAATATGGCCCATGGTAAGCATTCAAAAATTTTATCAGCCATTATTACGAATAGATTATTCACAGTGGCAATGGTTTATCCCAGATCCCCTTAACCTTACTAGGCCACATATTAAAGCCATAGCAGACTGTCCAACAGCCAGGACCACTGCTGACTTTAACAGCTCTTCTGACAATCAGCAAATCATAACTGACTCAAGAAAGGAAACATGAAGGTCTAAGTAAGCTACATGATCAATCATTTGCAATGTGTGACATTCAAACTCCTAAATTAACAACAGTGAGTCTCTTGAAAGACTTTGTAGCCAAAAAGATTCAATTCAGACTATTTAGTGTTAAACACTCCCTCTTCCTCCTAATTAATATCTAAATATTCATTACAAACACATTTTTTAAATGTTCTTTTTGGAAAAACATGAGTATCAACTCCCATAGGATTAAGGCACAAAAAGGCTATAAAATTAACAAACAATCCAATCAAACTAATATCCTCAAGAGTATTAATTAATGCTACCATGTCCTGTTCAGTTGTGTTTGCATTATGTGTCTGGCGTCAGTGATGGCCACTTTTTCACTGAGTGCACCATCATTGCAGAAAGAGGCCTGCTCTTGTGGCCAAAGAGGGAAGAAACAGCATCATCATCCCCCATTCACACACGAGGAAACTGGAGGCTCGGGGAAGGTAAGTAAATTAATTATTCTCGTCACACAGTCATAAATGGCAGAGCCAAGATCCTAACCAAAGGCCGGCTGGCTCTCATGCTAATGGTCACTGTTCTGAACCCCACGGCCCACCTAATCAGCACGTCACTGGTTTACATTTGCTGCTCACTTGACTTGCAGACAGAATCGTTGCCACCCAGGGGAAGGTGGCACATACACACGTACAGGACAAAGGCTCTTGACTGCACTCGCACAGACAAATATGTCAGACTAATAACAATGGTAGGACACTGAGAAACATTTTAAAAGATACCTACGGTCTATCAATTGGTTCATCAGGCGATCTGGAAATTAAGGGAGAGGACAGAAAATGAGAACAAACAATGCCAGAGAGTTTTAGAGAAAGAAAAGCAGCTGATCCAGGACATTTGTTACCACCCCTCCCCACACCCCCAGAGGACCCCACAGTCGTCAGCCCCTCAACCCCACACACAGACCACCCAGCCCGCGTAACATGAAGTCATTACAACAACGAGAGCAAATAACACGTTTTGGGCATTTAGGTCAGATAAAACATGATGTTCTGATTATTATTTTAATGAACTAAAAATTTCCCTGTATTTCTAAGAACTCCGTATAATTACAAACCAAGGATTCTATTATGAACATCAGAGAGAGCCAGAGCAGTACTATTAAACCATCTTGTATTTCTCTGATGCTCATACTGATCTTTCTTTAACCCCTTTAATGAACCACCTGTACTACAGGACCCAGGATGTCCCTTCTCTACTCTCCCTTTCTACAGTTTAGCACTTGACTTCGCACAGAGAGTAACATAACACACATGCCTATCTGAATCCTATCTTGCTCCTCCCATACTCACCTTACTCTTCTTTTGTACCTGGCCATGGTCACCAGCAACATATACTGCTCAACTGAGGAAAACCCTTTGATAGAGGGGCCTAGGGTGTTCTATCGTTAGGAGTTAATTTTCCTAATGAACTCATTAGGAACATGAACAGTAAATAGGTGCGCAAAGAAAGCCAGAATAAAATAGATCTCATCGGAGTAACTGAGCTAATAATTAAACCAAAATTTTTCTGACACTGTTTTTGAACACACAAAGGTGAGGAGATTATTTTTTGCATGTCCTTTTCCTTTAAAAAGCTAGGTATTCTGAACAATAACTAATTTAGGGGTCACAGAGTGAAAGAGAAGTCAAACCTCTCCCTTGCTATGAAGCAGTGATAGTGTTGCAGAGGTGAGATGCGGTCAAGATTTTTAAAACCAACACACACTGTTGAATTTTCCCTACTGGTTGTCCAAAGAGACTCCCAAGAATGATTCAGCTCCCCCAGACTAAGAACCTACTGAAAACACATTCCTTCTCTTCCCATTCAGAGAAAGTAGAAGATGGGAGGGAAGGAGTCAAAACCAGAAGTAACATAACCTAAAAACTGTCCATGTCTGTGCCTCTTACAATATCTACTTTAAATTTACAGTTGCAGCCATGCCTTCCTTCTGAGTGTCTATGGTGGGTTATATCCAAAGAAGGCAGCCAAGGGACGCCCTGATGGGTGGTGGTGGTAAGCAACGGAGTGGTGGAAAAAAGTGACTCTTCCTGTTGAGGAGGGTGGGCAGGTAGAGAACATCGTCCTGGCAGGAGATGGTACCTTTTGAGTCATCAGGAATGACTATGGGGGGGCTGATGTCTGGAAGTTCCTCCTCTCCTGGCTGCAACCCCCTGGCTCGGAGATGGTTGATATCAAGTAGGTCTGGCATATCAACAGAAACATCTGCAAAATGAGAGAGATTATATTCACTGGACTCTCCTACAACTCATAATCAACTTATTATAAAACCGGCACTACTAACTCTATCAACATACATGTGTCTAGGCAGAGCTAAGGGATGCTTTCCAGTTCCCTGGACTACAACACTGGACCAGCAAATTGATCAAGACTAATTATACGTTAATTGATAACTTGAGGAAAATATAGCAGGTAGTATGATTTCACACAGAACAAGAACAAATCAGTTAAGCCAGAGGTCACAAACTGGAAGCCCATAGACCATTTATGGCCCAGACAGATTCTTTTGGATGTTTCAAAAATGTTGGCAACAAGGCCAGGTGCGGTGGCTCATGCCTGCAATCCTGGCACTCTGGGAGGCCAAAGCAGGAGGATCACTGGAGCTCAGGAGTTCAAGATCAACCTGAGCAACAGTTAGACCTCGTCTCTACAAAAAAATTAGCCAGGCATGGTAGTGTGCACCTATAGTCCCAGCTACTCGGGAGGCTGAGGCAGGAGAATTGCTTGAACCCAGGAGTTTGAGGTTGCTGAGAGCTAAGATGACACCAATGCACTCTAGCCTGGGGGATGAGCGAGATGCTATCTCAAAAAAAAAAAAAAATGTTGGCAATAAGTTCCAATTTTTAAATCAGAAGATTTCATCTAAAAATCTAGATGTCTAGCTTATTTTGAACAACATAAAGCTGTGGCATATTCTCTTATGGTAACCACCTTCTAGAGCTGGTCCTCAGCTTCTACTCTGGACCATGGCGCCCTCTGTAACAGTGTGACGCAGAGACCACTGCTCCCTTTCACCTCCACGACCTGAGCATCATGTTTGTGCTATTCTGATCCCATGGCAGAGAGATGTTTTTCTGATCCATGTCTTTATCCAAAGTGGGAGTACCCAAGCAAGACCAAGCTACGTGTTTCTTACACCCAGCCCACTCCTTTCATTTAGGTTGTTACCCTGTCCTTGTGAGGCATTTGGGTTTGCAGCCCCTAGTTTATGCTTTTTCTCAGATCATGACAGGTACTATGGATACTCTAACTAAGGCATTAAATAAAGAATGAAGTTTTAAAGAAATTAATTGAATCTCAAGTGTATAACTCTTTGGAGTACAATTTTTTTTTAGCTTCTTGGCTCATTTGTTATTATGTTGACTTATTCAAATACAAAATTTATCAGTCTTATAACAGCCTGTCAAGATTTAGTACTACACATATTCAGATGAAATAATAAAAAATGGGTTCAAATATTGGTACAGGATATGTCATTTGGGCCAGCAAACAAAACCTGAAAATACTGTCCCCAAAATCAGTTATGATGCAAGGTACATACATCCTATTTTAAAACAACCACCTAAAGAACAAAGCTTAGCTTAAAAAAATTAAATTTCAGGAGGGCCAGCAAAACCAAAGAAAAAGTCTGACCAACAAAGTCAATACTATTGTTCCTCAAGAGAAAAATTCGGGTTCATTAAAGAAAACTTTGAGGTTCCTTTAAATTCAGCAAATCAGTAGCACCTGATCCAATTTTTGGTCTTCTACAGAAATTCCAAAGGCAAAGAAAAGTAAGAAAACTGTTTCCAAAGCAGTTCAAAGCCTTTAGAACAAGTCAGTTTTCTCTCTCGGGTACGTTTCAGGTCCATGGAAGAAAAGCCAGTGATCAGCATCCTGACCTCTGCCTGCCCCCTGCTCACAAAACTATTCTACCAGGGACACAAGGGTCTCCCGCAGAGTCAGTAAAAGCCCAGCACAACTTCACATGGCAAACAGGTGCCATGTAACTGTTAGTGCTGGGGGTTTCTAGGGATTTCTGTACATTCTTCCACACCCTTGAGGACAACCTAATAACATCCTTTATTTAATTAGATCATAGTGGCAGAGTTTTTATGCATTGTCTGGAAATTTAACCTCTAACAATGGTCAAGGACCTTTAAAATTAGCAAGAAGAAAGGCCAAATAAGACAAAATCACATTCCTTTTTTTTGACTGCTTAATGCAACTGACCTATTTTATCATTAATATAATTTGTATGATTTAAGTGCATGTCATTAGCCACACCTGCCTGCCTCAGAGGCGGAGGAGAGATGCTAAGAGGAGGGTATGTTTTCAACTACCTGCTACTCAAAGTTTGCCTTTGGACCAGCGGCACCAGCAACACCAGCAGCAGCAGCATCACCACAGGGGAGCTTGTTAGAAACACAGAACCTCAGGCCCATCTCAGACCTGCTGAATCAGCATCTGCATTTTACCAAGATCCCAGGTAATTTATATGCATGTTAAAGTTTGAGAAGTGCAATTTATTTGACAATGTAAGGATTCTGTTTGCACTCTGAGAATCCAGTCATTCCAGAACCCATTACTGAAGGGGTGGGTTAGCAGGTGGCAGTTTTCATTGTTGGTGCTTATCATATACTCTGATTCAAAAGAGCATATGATGGGAAAGGTGAGAATGGTGGGAAAAAGAGTGAAATGGAACTGTTTGTGGCAGCCAACTACATGGGCTCTTTCACATGCCATGTTTTTTAAATGGCTAATTTGATATTTTAAGCAAAAGCATGCAAAAGATACCTACCAAATTTTTTGGGAACCCAGTCAAGACCAAAAGTGAACTTCTTTATCTGCACTACCAAGTATTCAGGGAATGAGGCAAAGCGAGATGTTCTGGGAAACACAAGGGGATATATCAATGAAACAAGCAATAAGAATTGTGAATACAGTTCATGAAGCATCACAAGCTTTGTCTGGGGCACACCTGGCTGTTCCAATGACTGAACTGAAGAGGAGGAACACTCGAACACACATATAGGGGAACACACACTCACTCACTCCTGTGCATTTGTCCTGGCCTCTTCACAAGAAGAAAATGTCTAATGTAGGAGAATGTTGTGCCTTGAGAATGGTTTTGGAGCTATTTCAAAATTAGTACTTGTACTTTGCTGTGACATTTTACATTTCTGAAAGTGCTTTTCAACCATTTATGTTTTTAAAATCCTCACCAGAATTTAGTATATATATTTGTAAGTGTTTATGGGCATGCATGCATTATGAGTCCATATGTGGGGTTTGGAAAAGCTCCCCAAGTGATCCCAAAACACCCCCACCTCCACTCCCACACAGAACCTCTAGCATGAAAATACTACTGTACCTACATCCATGGTCACCTGGATCCTAGGGGTAGACACTAGTATTTCGGATGCTTACCGCATAATGTATGGAGTGTGTATGTGTGTGTACGTATATATGTATGTATATATATGGTAAGTATATAAAATATCTAAATCTGGGCCTTAACTTTTAAAATTAATATTTATGACCAATATCTTGAGTTCTCTTAAAATTTACAGAAAGGCTGAATTGCCTGGACTTGGATTTGAGAATTTTATGAACAGACTGTTTAACTTGTATACCAAATTCGTGCCCCCATTCCAGCTCATTCACTCCACATTTATCATCTTGTTTTTAACAACCATTTCTATTTAATTGTCAATGTGGGTGTGGTAGATACATATAAAAAAGAAAGAAAGCTGTTGACAAGTATCACAGGTACCTTTTAAAATAAAAGATTCTAGAACACCCTCCCCCAGACCCCACTTTTCAAATCTAAGTCACTGTCTTCTATTTGGCATGCTTCATCGCAGAATTCAGAAAACAATTGTAAGTGCATTGCTGCCCTCTGGTGTAGAAGAGGAGACATTGGACAGAGCACTGGAACAACAACAAAAAGAGTCAAAGGCTCTTGGATATGTCACTTCATTCACTCCAAATCCGACCAAATCACTGACCCTCCCAAGGCTCCATTTTCACAACTACAGTATGGATTTACCAATAATATCTACCTGCCAGGGCTGCGCAATGCTCATGAAATGATGTGAAACCATTTGGCACACTAGAAAATACTGTATTACATATACCTAAGGAATTAGGTACACTATTTTGTCAGGAAAGAGCTAGACTCCATGGAGCCTTGGACACTGAATTGGTCCATCACTGGCCTGTATTTCACCCCCAGGTAAGTTATTTAAACTCCCTGTATCTTAAATTCTTTGTCACAAGGTTGTTAGAAAGGTAGAAGCAGTAACATAAAGGAGCTGTTCAGAAAACAGGAGCTTTATCATTCTATCATATAGGAGCCTCATCAGCCTATTATCCTGCCTCACTCTCCAGAAATTATATTTTACCCCTAATTAGGTTTTCCTGTCTTCTGAGAAGCGGTAATAAACATCATTCTTATCTAAATGTTGCCAAGTCTTCAACTACACCAAAACCCAACAAACTCCATCTGGTATTATGATATTTTCAACTAATGCAAAATGTTACCTTTCTGCCCTCCTCTTCTTACCACATTAACTTAAAATCTGGAAAGCACATAACAGTGTAATCAACAAAACGTCATCGGTAAATCAGTAATTTCCAAAATGTGATTCAGGAGCCCTGAGACTCTTGGAGCTGCTGTGTGGTCAGTACCTAGGTGAGGCATCAGCTGGTGATATCACGGGAGGGGCAGTGGAGGAACTGGAGCCTGGGTCGGGGATACTTAACACATCACCTTGTTAGGGGTAGCTACCCACTAAGAGTACTAGAAAGCGGGTTTAGATGGTGTCCACATTCTTTATGCATCTTTGTTACCTCTATAGAGTCACATATTGAATCACACATGTAGTAACTGCTCAATATATATCGGTTCAAATCAATCTCAAAAGTAATACACTTCATTTATTTATTGCAGTTTGGGAACATCAAGTTTGTTACTTAAATCCAACAAAGTTATAAATTATGCTTTGCTTATTCTTTCATTCTTAAAATTCACCCCAGAATTAAAATTTTTCTTGGAAAGCTGTATATTTTTAATAAAGACCATTAGAATGTTAATCATTCAAAAAGGTCTAGATAGACCCACAGCAAATTTACTTCAAAGAGTTGTTATGGGAATTAAATGAGTTAAGACATATAAAGTGCTTAGAATGGGTCCTGACAAAATTATTGTGTTGTCTGTGACAACCTACTAACATTATTTAAAATATATCAATTGTTCACTAACTATAATTAAGGCAAAAGTACCACGAGGACTTGGTTAAGAAAAAATATATAAACTGTACCTCTCCCTGACATTAATATTGTCTTGAAAACCTGGCAAATAAAAAAAAGACAATTCTACCCTTTCCACTATGTCAAAAATATGATATAATAATTAATCAACCACACTCAAATTATATAACCCAAGGCCAAAGAAAGAAGGAAAGATAAAGATAATAGTAATAATAATCACATCATCTTATATTGACTCTGTGCCAGGCATTGTGCAAAGCACTTTCCATGGCTTATCTTGCTTAATCCTTGTCTCAACCCTATAAAAAAAAGTACTATTATTATCCCCATTTACAGATAAGGAGACAGGGGCTTATGGAGGTAAGATCACTTGGCCAAGGTCACATACCAGTAAGCTCTGGACTGGGCATTCAAACACTGCCCACCTACCTAGAGTCTGTGCTCTGGAACCACACACCATGCTTTTCTCTTCATAAATAACAGTTAAGTAAAAATCTCCCCCAGCAACCCTTAACCTGTGAGCTGCACAAGGGCAGGAATTAGGTCTTGTTCCACCCACTGCCTACAATACACTGGGGGAGCAGTGACATTTGCTGAGTGAATGAACTTTTGAAGCACTAATATTCTTCCCAGACGCAGTCTGATCAGGGTCATTTAGTGCAAGGGTCTTTATGTCTAGCCCATACTGACCCAAGATCCACCAAGATCTTTAGGGCACCTTTTGCCTCCTCTTGGTCTTTCAAGCTCCATTTCTAACAAAAGAAAAAGTTCAAGGCCCCAAATTAACAAAATGTAGGCTGAGTCACAGCCTACATTGCTGGAAATAAAACTAAAAGATCTTTTAGAAATCCACTGAGCTGCTTTCTGCAAAGGTAATATTTGAAACGTGATAAAGCATAATAAGGAATGAGCCAAGCTCCAGGATGCAAGCATGAGCAAGCACGACAGCAAGGGCTCCCATACAACTGGCACTAAGAGTTCACACTTTGAACTCAGTCAGACCTGAACGAATCCCACGTCTGCCACTTACTGGCCAATTACTTCTTTCATTTCCTCATCTGTAAAGTGAGAAAATAATGGGAACTGCCTCGTACTACTAAGAAGATAAATATGACAACTAATGGAAGTGCTTAAACACATGGCAATAATAAATGTGCAATAACTGATGGTTGCTTTATTACCTTTAATATTGTTTTTTCTTTCCAAATACTGTTTTCTTTCTTTCCCACAAGGACCAGTTTCAATTACTAACAATTGTGACATACCTAGTACTAATTCTTTTCACATATATAAAAGGCACATACAAGAGCGTGCATGTATACAAAGAAAAGGGAAAACAAACATGTTTAATATCTCCTTTGAAGGACTAAGGAAAACAGAAACTCCTCCTCAAAGAGTCCAGATAGTTATGGTAGCATTGCCTACAACTAAATATTTTGTAGCATTTAAGGATAAATTCAGGTCAGCAAGTGTCATTCCTCCACTACAGACCGAAGGACAGTAGGTGGTGACTTTGCCCAGGACAGAAGATGAGGTGGAAAGTGGACACAGGAGAAGAATCCAGATCTGACACAGGAGAAGAATCCAGTCCTGGGCTCAGAGAATCTGTCTGTGGAAAGCTAATGCTGTCCAGCTCCATCTTAAAGGTGGCCCTTTCCAAAGTTCTGAGAAGGTTCCCTCCGGGTAGAGCACAGGCAGAGAGGCAGGCCCAGAGAATACGTCACAGCCTGCACTTCTACAAGACCAGGCCACTTTTCTGAAGAGCAGAAAGGGGCAGCCACGGGAAAGGCAGATGAAGACCATCCCCCCACTGCAGCTCACACCTGACGCTGGGGGCTTCTTGGGCTTCCAGGTCCCAGAATCACCTTCCACCTCCCAAAGATAATCAGAACAAAAGCACAAACAGAAAAGGATAGGCCGGGCATGGTGGCTCACGCCTGTAATCCTAGCTCTCTGGGAGGCCAAGGCCGGCGGATTGCTCGAGGTCAGGAGTTCGAAACTAGCCTGAGCAAGAGCGAGACCCCGTCTCTACTATAAATAGAAAGAAATTAATTGGCTAACTAATATATAGAGAAAAAATTAGTTGGGCATGGTGGCGCATGCCTGTAGTCCCAGCTACTTGGGAGGCTGAGGCAGCAGGATTGCTTGAGCCCAGGAGTTTGAGGTTGCTGTGAGCTAGGCTGACGCCATGGCACTCGCTCTAGCCTGGGCAACAGAGCAAGACTCTGTCTCAAAAAAAAAAAAAGAAAAGGATAAATGTTTGAAGAATCTTCAACCCATTGTCAATGATTAAAGAAATTGCTTCCACCACTATTACAGCGTGTGGATTTCTAACTGCCCAAAGATGTCTCCAAGTGGCAATGAAGTGTATCTCTCACATTTATTAATAACACTTCAACTCACCAACTGTTATCTGCAAAGACACACACGCATACACCCCCACACACGCACACATGACATATGCACACGAGCAAACACACACAAACACCCACGCACCACAACTGAGCAGTCCTAGCATGAAAACTGACCCAAAAATGAACAACTGATAACTGAAGATTAACTATTAATCTTTCTTTGGATATAGAGATTTTTTTAAATTGTTTTAAGAAAATATGGCTTTTTTAGGTGTTTGAAATAAACTGGTTAGCTTTACCATTTTTAACAAATGAAGTCTATAATCTTCAACAAAGTGGAAGTCTGAAGGATGGATTTCACAGAGAATAAATGATTTAGGTTTGACTGATACTTGATATTGTGGGAAAAACAGCCAGCTCTTTCATCCTTTACTCACCTTTGCAATCAACCAAGAGCTCCACCTTAGCCTTGAAGAAAACGGCCAAAGAATATCTAAAAGTAGTGAAATTCCCAGAGCCAAACTTTCAGACCTCCCTTCATTTTAAGCCACTATAAGCACTTTTTTACCGATTAAGTACAGCAATATGAAGTGTGTTGACAAGGACTCAACTGTATCAGATGAACTCAGGTATCAAGTAAAGGAAAAAAAATTGTATATACGTGACAACCAGCCTCACAGTGTGAAAACAGGACATCTCCTGACCAAACCCTGAGCAGCTCATTTGAGCCATGCGCAGGAGCCCTTATATCCACTCTGAGATGCCCCAAGACTCCCAGTCTCCAAGTAGGAACAGAGCCAACCAAGTTCTAGACCAAATCTTTAATTATGAAATTAAAATATATAACAATGGAGTTTAAATACTGAAGCCTGCCTTAAGTGTTTTTGTAATTTCTCAATTAAATAACATCCTTGGTATTTTGGGCTAGGGGGTTATTTCTTGGATGTACCCTCTTGGCAGAAGAAGAGAGACAGACAGACAGAGAAAGAGAGAAAGGCAAATTCCTTATAGAGGATAAACCACAACCTTGCGTTTTAAAAAAAAAAAAACACGCCCCCTCCCTACACATAATAAAAATCACAAGGCTGTTTTATTGGACAGGTCTCACAAGTTAAGTCAATGACAATCAGGGTGTATGAGTCATAATCCCATCCCACACACATGAACAAGCACACACAGACTCATATGAAACCCTGCCACCTCTCCCCGACCCGTCCCCACCTCTCCAAGCCCCTCTTCACCACAAGGCCACCACACCGCACACACACACTTACTTCACACCCGCAGACTTCGCTTGTAGGGCGCTGCTCCAGAAATCATCAACGTTGTCTGGTTCCGAGAAGGCCTGAAGGCAGGCACTAAACGGTATCTTGGCACGAACCAACTCGGGAAGGGGTCTTCTGTTTGCTTCCGCTTCTCTTCTCGTCAATTCATAAGCAATCAGTTCATCTGAGTAAAAGAGTAAATGAATGACCTAGTAAGCACTCTTATCTTCCAGAAACCAAAGACACCCTCTTTGGACCCTGAAGGCTTCTGGGCTGGGCCAGGTTTGCTCACTTGTTTCTCTTGACAGAGCCAGAGAAGGCCGCTAAGAGGCTGTTCTTGGGCTGTCTTCAGAGCTGCACTGACAGGCAACGTGGAGATCAGATCTTTTTGCCTGTTCCCCTCTGAAACTGGCAGGAGGCCCTGTGAGCCCGGGGGAGAGGTTCAGACCATGCGCCAACATCTATGCACATGAACTTGGTCTTTCATTTGTCCAGAGGTCAAGCCTGGGATTACTCAAATGCCATCCTCCAAACACAAAGCCTTCACATCAGAGAATTTTACAGCTGAAAGAGTTTCGAGGCTTCACCTCTTCCCAAGCCCTTCACTGCCTTGCTCAGTGAACTGAGGCCCAAGGTCAAGACCAGTCAATCACTGACAAAGCTGCACTTAAATCCCTGACCAGCACTCCCTCTGCTACCCTACAGATAAGGCCAGAAAGAGATGCTAAGGAGTGTCAAGAGATCAAGTTTTGCCAATGATCAGACACACACACACACACACACACACACACACACACACACAAAAGCAACAAAAACATTCCTGTTCACTTAAAGCTATTTTAAAATAAAATGATCAAGGGGGAAAAAACAGATAAAAGCAAAAAGAACAACCACTGTGCTCCCTGTCAGAAACAGACCCAGTGTTACACATTTTCTGATTCTGTCCCACCGGCAGCTGTGATTAGAGGTCATAGGTCCCACAGAGTGTGGGGCCAAGGAGGAGGATAAATATAGGACCGAAGTTATCCACCATGACAAGTCCCGGGATACCAACCACTGCTGCTGAGACCCCAGATATCAGGGCTACCCACCTAGAAGGCCTCTCTCTGCTATCCCTACTCAGATGATTAAATAATAAGGGAAAAAGAAATGAGCAGGCCATGAACCTGCCAAACGTCAGCAGATCTGTTCCTGGAAACTTATAGTCAAAATTTTGTATGGATTTTGAATGGCCTTTCTGGTCATTTCTTTTGTATTTCACACCACCACCACCACCACCCCAGCCAATCACTCTTGATTTATTAATCTGTAGGTACTCTTAGGCGATATGCGTTTCCTGAGCATAACTGAATATGCTTTTAAAATTAATTCCCCAGTCCACAATCAGTTTATGATGTACTTATATCTGGGGTGCTAACATTAGGTGTTCCCAGCAATCAATTTCCAGAGACTAAATTATAAATTCCCTTTCTGGAAAAAATAGTCACCACTCATAAATTACAAATAGTGAGTGAGAGAAGATCTTAGAACTGAGCAGAACATGTATGTTGGTATCCCTGAGGTGGGCAAGAGAAAGCAATTAAGCTGAGTAATAGATACGAATTTGAAAACTGGTCAAAAGCCACATGAGCTTATAGAAAATAGAAATCATTTCATCTTAAAATCATCATAATCATCACTTCCAATTGGCATAATAAATTGATCTAAGCCCCCAGAAAAAGAGGAAAAAAGGTCACCCAAGGAGTGTTGAACTTTATAAAAAAGGCCAGTTCACAGGAGACAAGCAATCTAGCCTTTTTCTGCTTCTAAGATGTTAATTCAAAGAAATACCATTTGTCCACTTTGCCTGGGACTAAATTAGTCTGATGGAAAGAGAAAGAACTTCCCCCTGAGAACCCAGCATTGCTGCCATATCTCTGCCTCCTTTTCTCTTCCAAAGTCCAGAGACTCTGCTAAGGGGCTTTGTCCTACAAAGAGCCCTGCCACAATTTATCTCCCAGGAGAGGCATCTTAAATACTCAGTTGCCAAAGCTGGGGGATTTCAAGAGACCTCTGCTCAAATGCCTAATTTCAAAAAATGCAGTTCTGATCATTTCCCTAGGACTTATATAGGACAACTTATGAATGATGCTGTGAAATAACCTTCTAAATATACCATTACCAATAACTGCCCCAAAATTATGCTGACTCCAAACCAACTAGTTGGTCAAGCTTATAGGCAATGAAGTAGGTTCCATCCATAAAACCTGTGATGCATGTGATTCTTCTCAATGGAGAGTCACATGGGGACTAAGGAAAGATATAAACAGATGTGCAAACCAGCCATCATCTCTGCTGGGTCTACTCCTGATACAACTTTTCAGTGACTAAACCGTATCATCTCCCATTGGCGGGTGTTCCCATATGAAGACACACATTGCTAATTTCCCACTTGGAAACTGTTACCTTTGTTGGTTGCTGCCTCCATGGCCACAGGCAACTGCATCAGGTAATCCACCCTCTCCGTGTAGCGAACTTTTCTGGTCTGACAGCACTGAATACGTTCTTCCACCAAAAAACGGAAAACGTCACTTGGGTTTTCTGAGCCGATGCGGTTCCTCTGAAGGTTAGATTACATCAGATTAGTAAATGTATGAATATTAAACCATTAAAAAGTAGCATAAAATCAACAACAAATCTGGTGTAAAGATCCGACTTTACTAAACATTTCCTCTGACCATGCCAGTTCCACCAGAATACTTCAATAGCAAAACACTGGAATTTATCTAAAATCCAAATAAAATATAATTCATCATGTGAATTAGTATTACAACATTATTAAATTAAAAATCACGGAGGAGGGACTGACATAGATGGAATGAGAAGAAAGGAGAAGGAAATAATGCAAGAGTAAGGGGAGAAAATAAAATATTGCCATGGAAAAATAAAGGCATGTGTGATATGATTCTATAAATTGGTTCATGTGAATTAGATACAAACAAAAAAGGAACCATGCTATGTTAGTATGCGTCATGATGCGGCAAAACAAGCACAATGGGGTAAGCGCAAGCACTGCTCACAAAGCAGCACACAGGGAAGGACTGTGTCACCTGGGCAGTGACGGGAGGGGCAGAGGCAGCAAGTGCACACAGGTTGTGGGAGTTGGGATTATGAGGGATTTTGATTTTCTCCTTTGTGTTTTCTATATTTTCCACCAAGAACACTGTTGTAATCAGAAAAGAAAAAATTGTTTTTAAGGGGGAAATAAAGCCTCTTTATTCAGGAGTTCTCAGTGTCTTTTAAAAACCACAGCATTCAATACGATTTGGTTCTGCTGTGAGCACAGAGTGACCATCCCCGAGCAGTGGCAGGAGGACACCAAATACCACACAGGGCTCTCCAGGAGCTTTGTCACAGAGACCAGAAAAAAAAGATGAGTGAATTAACTGACAACCACTCCTATAATGTGTACAGAGTAAAGGGGGAACAGAAAGATGCACACGTGTCTGGAAAGCAGGGCGAGAGGAGCGGTCACAGCAAGTGGGCCGAGCAGAGAAAGCCTCCAAGAAACCGACTCTGAACTTGCTTCAGTGAGGAGAGACTGAGGTAAGAAGACAGTGGCGGGGGCATTCTGGCCAAGCCACTGTGAACGCCACCGAGTGGCCAGGAACACTCCTTACAGCCCTGCTGAGCACTTGTGAAAACCGTGAAAACTGACTCACTCACCTCTACTAGATTCACCAGGTGCAAGAAAAACTCCTGTGCATCTTGCTGTCTATTCGAGGAGAATTCCGGGTGGCTCTTGCTTACAAAGGCCTTAAACATGCGTGGAGAGATCCCATTTTGTTGAGGCTAAATTATAAAAATAAAATCGATTTACAATACTTTCACACATATAAACAGCTCTAAGTGCCAAGCAGAGCAGGGATTACCATAAACCCCATTTTTCAGATGACAAATGAAGCCCAAAGATGGTAAATAATGATAATGGCTGACAGTCACTGGATATTTAGTGTGTACCAGGCCCTGCACTGTGAACCTTACAAAGAACAGGACGGGACTCTTCTGGTGACTCAAGACTAAGGACAATGGGTGATAAACACCCCACTTTCTAAAGACAGGCACTTCACTCATCCTCACAGGACTTGCTACATGGTGGCCAAATGTCACAGTCCATTTCAGAGCAGGCTAGAAGCTCCTCAGGGAGGAGGGGCTCTCTGAAGGAAGTTGCAGAAGAGGAGAGCTCTGTAGCATCTCCCCATCCCTCCCGAGGGTACAGTAGAGAGCCCCTTGTAAAGCACAGAGTACTCGCAAGTACTTGCAAGAAAGGGCAATGGCGTTGCATGGCCCAGGGAACCGCTGTCGAGCTGCTCGAGCTCATGGAACCCACCCTGCGCTGTTCCTGGACCAGAGCACAGGGCGTTCCCAGGAGCTGTGGGGAGTGGGGGTCCTGCCCCACACCTGGAGAAGCAGAAGGAGGCTGGCTGCAGCTGCTGGGAGGGCATGTGGGAAGAGCAGGCAGCAGGGACAACTCTGGCAGGATAAGGATGTTGGATTTTCCCAGGGACTAAAAGGATAGCTCAGAAGGAGGTGGGCTATCTGCCAGCCAAGGATACTTGTGTTGGAGAGCGAGTAGAGGTTCAGAGGCCAGCTGGACACAGCATCAGGGAAAGGTCCTGTAAGGTCCCTGAGGCTGGGGTGACTATGGGTGGGGGAGGCAGCTCTCAAGAACCACTAATGCACAGCCATGACAGAGAACACATGGCAGCCAAGAGGGAGCCAAAAGGTGCTGGTTAAGTGAAGATTCTGCCTGCTTCTCTCATCTCCCCATCCCCTGGCCTTTGGTGGGAGGAGCCAGAAGAAGGTGGAAGGAGCCAGAAGAAGGTGGAAGGAGGCAAAGAGGTGGAGCAAGGATAAAAACAAAACCAAGACACAGGTACTAGCCCTTCACACTCCTGTTTTCTCAGACTCTTGAGCTTGGAAGAAGAGAGAAGCAATAAACTGGCCCTGATGTGAACTGGCCTTTTTCATACTGGCAATCTAAAGGAAATCACTGGAAATCTAGGAGATCTGCCTAGGATGCTCTGACAAGGCTGGGTGGGAAGATTCCACATCGCCTTTTGTGATGCAGGTGAGCACCTGGTAAAGCTGCTTCCTGGGGGCTCCCTCCACGTGTGGCCCACCTGACAACCTCATTAACACTCACAATGACCCTAGAAAGTAGGTGCTGCTCTTATCCCACCTGGGGATCTGAGACTGGCAGAGAAGTGCCAGACAGGTCTTTCAACTCAAAGTGGTCTTAAGGACCCAACTGTCCTGCAGCTAATGCGGCAGAACCAGAATGGACTCCAGATTCGGCTCAGAACTCAAGTTCCTTTGCAGCAAAAACAAAGAAGTAGGCCCTGAGGTACATACTAAGGCTCAGCAAAACAAACCTCACCTTGTCAGCCAGCCAAAGAAGTAATTCATGAAATCCTCTCTGCAAATGCTGTGGCTGCTACCCGCTCACTTTTCCATAAATCCTCCCCTTGCTCAGCTCCCAGGCCACATTCCTCTCCTCGAAGTCCAGAGCACAAACTGCCTTCTATTCAATACTTTGACTTCCAGCCTGCTTCCAGCCCATCTCCACAGCCTTAGCAGGTGGAGGCCATGTCTCACACCTCTGAGTTCTCACAGACATCCAGGTCAATGCCTGTGGTCTGGGGGGCATGACAGGTTTGCAGAATCGCACAGTCGAATGCCACAGGTATGACAGAATTCTTTTATCTAAGTCCCTGAGGCCAAGTGGCAGCTCTTCATATAACATCTCTCCAATGCATATGTTCTAAAGCAATGTTTTCTAATAAAAATCCAATGAATTTTCCTGTCTTGCTAAAAACATATCTGGTCTAGTCATCTAATATTTACTGACTGCCTACTCCATGAGCACTATTGGGGATCTGCCCTCCAGGAGCTTACAGACAACAGAAGAGATGAGAGACGCACATGCATCTATAACAAATGTCAGGGAACTACATTGGACCCGAAACAGTACCGGTAGCTCATGAGGAATTCCCCAAAGTGGCAGCATTTGGGCATCCGAGACTCGGAACCTATATACAGATGACCAGCTTACACACATAAATGGCTTTAGTTGTGCCGCCATTGCTAGGTGAAGACCAATTTATACCTGAGAATTAATTTTACTGCCTGTATCTAAAGGAAAACTATGTAGAAGTTGTAACTTTCCTCACTCACAATGCTGATGTATGTACACATAGGATCAGCTGACACAAGTATGTGATCACAACACCTTAGCTTTATACCATGGCTCACATTTATGCATTTATTCAACAGATATTTACTGAGTGCTGTAAAATGTCAGGTACAATCCCAGGTGCTTGGACAAATACTTACTAAGTGCCAAGGAACCATTCTTAACATTTTATATGTGCATTTTGCTTATTTCACTCAATTCCATGAGGTGATGATTATTATTATCTCCACTTCACAGATGAGGAAAGTGAGGCACAGAGGTGTTAAGTAACTGGTACAGGGTCAAATAGCTAGAAAAGTCTCTCTGCTCCCTCCCTCTATTGTCCTAATGCTGTTTCTGGTACACAAATGCTTACACATCATCTCTGATGTCTCTGAGTCCATCCGACTAGTTGCCAAAAAGAGAAGACAACATGTCTCAGAGTTCGAGTTAGACTGCTTACCCACACACCTCTAGGGACAACATCACAGGCCAGCCCAGCAATTCAGTCTCCGCTCTGCACAGTATGGAGGCACTACTTGGAATAAATCTTTTCACATTTGTGCATTTCTGTTTAGGCATTCATATAAGCATGCATTCACTGCCTGCTGCCGATGGTGTTATTTCTTACAAGCTGTGATTACAGCTTGGTGTGGCTGCCAGTCCCCAGCACACACCACAGAAAGAAGCTGCTTTGGAAAGTTTAACAAGTCAGTAAGTTCAAAACTGCTGCTGCTCTGTGCCATCGCGTGGTCATAGAGAAGTTTCAACAGAGACCACAACAAACACCCCAAACTCAGCCCTGCCTGAACTTGGACCCAGTCTCATTCATTCCCCTCCCACACCTCTTCCCATTTTGTACCCATTTCATGTCTTTGTTTTCCCTCAACTGACTTTACTTAATCCTTTGTTCAAAAGTCAAGCTACTGCTTGAGAACAGTTGATCACTGAGAAGTTACTTGAAAAAGCTTTCTAACAGGAGAGATGCTATCTCTTCCTCTCCACGTCACGCTGCAGGTTCACAGCTGGGCTGGAGCATTTTAGCTCAAACTCAACTACTCCATGTTTAATGCCTTGATCACCAGCTGGCCCCATCTGCCTACCCATGCCCCACACCCATTCTACCTCTGACTGCAGAGGGAAGGTCTTACTCATTCCTATGCCCAACTATTACTATGTTCACCTCTCATCTAGGCATCAAAGTCTGGCTCTAAAAGTTAATTCTGAATTGAATCAAGCCTCTAGATCTACCACTACCTTATACAAAACACAAGTCAAACAATATTTCAAGGAAGCAATCTTTAGAGCAATCTTAGGGCAAATGATCCAGCTCCTTCAATAAATCAATAGCTTGCAAAAAGAAAAGGAGGGGCCTTTAGAAAGATACCTTTGATACAACAGGGAAAAATATGAATAGGGATTGGGTATTAGATGATAGTAAGGAATGGTTGTTCATTTTGCTGCTGTGCTTTTAACACATTAAATAACTTTTAACACAATATTTATGTTAAATGAAAAAAGAAGGTATTATAGTTACAGATGCATAACTAAATACAGCTGAAAGGAGGATGTTTGAATTTTGTGTTAAAATATTGCAGGGAAGGAAAGGAAAAGAAGGAGAGGAAAGGGAAAGAGAAGACAGAAGGGGAAGGGAAGAGTTGGGTTTAGGGGTTTGATGGAACCAAACTGGCAGAATGGTGATTACTGAAGCTGCACATGGTAGCTGGAGGAACACAGAGATTCATTACACTTTGCTCTCTGCTTTTATGCACATATGCAAATTTAAATAATTTTTCCTTAAAAAAATAAATCAGGCTCTGGATAAGGCTGTTCTCTTAAAAAAAAAAAAATTCAAAACAAGAACCAAAGAATTGAATTCAAAGAAGCATGTTTCCTACGTAGCAACGAGTCAGTGATATCACCTAAGTGTCCTGTACAGGCCTAACACAACAGGCAGAGACTAAAATCAACCAAGAGTGGGACCTGCTCAGGGAGCATGCATGCTGGCAGCTGACTCTTGGACACCTGAAGCAATGGCTAGTCTTGACCACTAATTTTATAATAGGGAGGCCCAGAAAGGCTCCAAAATAGCAACCACCTAAGGAACCTGTCATATTAATAGGATACTGTACTTACTTTCTCCATCAGCAATTGCAAAACAGATCAGCTAAAATTAGAGAGAGGACTACCGTGTTCAGAATCTCTCCCAAGTGCTTACGCAGGACTCTCTGTTTAACACAGTGCACCACGCAGACAGCCAGACACTGTCCACTTTTATTTCTCTGATCCTAATGCTTTAATTAATAAGCAAGCAGCAAGACTGAGGCTTATTATCACATCAGAGCAATGTTTGCAATAGGTGCTTAGAAGACCACAGAAATAAAACGAAGATAGATACATCTCTGCCTGTCCCTAAAACACAGAAGTATGGAGTTTGTTGATTTCAACTTTTAGCCTTAAACCAAAAACCTTGGACTAGTAGTTGCTAACCCAGCCCCAAACCCCAAATCTCCTAAGCTAGGAGGAGAGGGGGCATTCTCAAGCCATTTAAAAAGGTGAATTACAAATATTACATGTGCCCAACCTAGGAAAACAAAGCTCTTATGTTCAAAGCTAAAACTAATCACCTCAAAGCAGAACACTGGTTAACTTATGTTGATAAAAAGTTGAGACCAGCAATTATGTGTCAAGGATTATTTAGATGGGAAATCAAGTAAATTGTTACTTACGAAACACTATGTGTTTGGAATACAGAGCTATTTAAAACATGTTATCTTTGGAAGGAGTAATAAGTTACAGAGTATTCAGCTTTAAAATATTTGAAAGCACTGCCTTAGAATGCATAAAGATCAAGAATATATTTTTAGAAGAAAAAAGTACCCTTTTATAGTTTAGTATTACCCATTGCACATGCAATTTTATCTTAAAAATCAATTCATCAAATTTAAGTAAAAATGGCAGGGCCTCAAATAAATATTGCAGGTCTCTTTATAGATGACAATGTTTTTTAAGCACACATATATTAAAAACTAGATTTCGCTTAGTCTACAGCAGACCAATTTAATACCAGTGAGTATATATCCTAGAAATGTCCCAAGATGTAAGACACAGGTGAGAAACCCACATTACTAGGCTACCTGGTGATTCTGCAAACTTCAACCGTTCCCTATGTCTGTGGTCCCCAGCCCCCAGGCCCCAGCCCAGTACTGACCCATGGCCTGTTAGGAACCAGACCGTGCATCACCACCTGAGCTCCACCTCCTCCCGACCCCCATCCGTGGAAAAATTGTCTTCCGTGAAATCAGTCCCTGGTGCCAAAACAGTTGGGGACCGCTGCCCTATGTCATCCTCCTGCCACCATCCATACACTGAGGCACCGGGAGCCTGAAACAAGTCCTGGAACAACTGCAGGGAAGTAGGATAGACAGTGGAGTGGTCAAAAGCACAGACTCGGGAGCCAAAGTGTCTGTGTGACTCCCAGCTCTGCCACTCACTGGCCATCAGTGAACACACAGGAAGAACCTGGCCCATGGCGAGCATTATGTGACGTGAGTTATTCGTATCACTGGTGGTGGAGGCCCTGTAAAAAGGCATTTCTGCCACATGACTCAGATCCATCCTTCATGCTCTCTCCTCTCCACCACACGTTCCTCTCATAATCTATCCCCTTCTCTGCCTCAGTGCATCTTCTTTCCTCCCTTGGGGCACTTCAGTGTCATCTACAAGTCACAAACACCAGAGGCCTGGGACAGGACCATCTGATCAAAGGGATCCTGATACCTGAGAGAAGGAAGATTCTCACAAATTGGTTCCTTTGAAACCAACTGCCAGTGAAAATCCTGATGCTTCAGAAAGTAATTCCCTGCACTGTCAACAAGAGTGGAAATTTTTGCTATGAATTGCTTTCTGCTTGAGTAACAGCTTGAAACGGACACCCCCCAGGGCCACAAAGAAAATCACGATCTATTCAAGCTCTATTTGAGTGTTAAAGGAACATCACTGACACTTGAACGAAACACCCACTCGTTTCCCACCTAGCTGGACGGGCCTGGCCCACCACTGCCAGGGTGCTCATTGTACACTGGACATGATCAGGATTCTCTCTTCAAGACCACTAGAGCATGGCACCTCAGACCTGGAAAGGGTCTTACAAGTCATCTAGATCAAAGGTCACAAACCCAAATACCCAGAGTCCCAGTCAGGTCATGACTCACAGAGGAACTAGAACCAGCTGGGGACTATGTGTCCCGTGGAAGGAGGGCTGCCACTTGGCTATAGCTGCCATTGTGAGCCTGGGAATGCCAGAGGTCCTGAGCGATTAAGAGAAACTAAAAATTCAGATATTATGTGTGGACCAAGCAAAACATACTTGCAGGCCAGGGATAGCCCAACAGCCACCGAATCCAACAGGGAGGAGGAGACACGGGCTCCAAGCAGTCATTATTTGTAGACTGAATAAATAGCGTGCCTTGCTCATATAAGAATTACCCTTGCTCTAACATAAAAGGACATTATAATATTAACAAAACCAGATTTTATCTCCAAACATCACTAAATTGATGATTTTTCATTTCATATTTTCTCAACGGAGGAGATCCTTAGAGCTCAATAATCACGTAATACACACAGATGTTATTTATATTAGAGAGGGGACTCCCATGCTTGAAATAGTCACAACCACCATGTAGACCAATTCTGCCATTGACTGCTGGGATTGGAAGGTGACATGACCTGCCACGGTCACACAGCTCCTTGCAGAGGCAGGAGAGGTAGCCAGGCTCCTGAGTCCCAATCCTGTCTCCTTCACCTCCACCAGGGAGGTGGACTCTGCCCCTGGAGAGCTACCCAAGGGGTGACACAGGCTAGATGAAAACTGAGGACAAACAGGATCAAAGAAAAATTCTGGACTCAGTTTTTTTTTCCACAATCACCTCTCCAAAGTTTCACAGGTGCTCAAAGGTTGAAGAAGCCTAGATAAGCCCACATCCAGCCCCACACCCAGTCCCCCTCCTCAACTGCATCCCACATGAGAGTCTTCCAGTCTTTGGTGGATAAGGACCTTGGGATCTTGCAATGATGGAGAGCAACACAACTTGAGGATTAAGTTCTTCCTGCCCCCACACCACTCTGCTCTCCTGGGCTCACCATTCAAACTTCTTTCTCTCTCCACGCTCTGTACAACCTACTTCCTCCCCCTGGCTCTGGACACTGCCTCTGTGTGTTCCCTTTAGTATCCCCTCCTCTTGTTTGCTCCATTTCCACAACCAGCTGGCTTCATTACGGACAAAAAGGAATTCACTTTTGACTCTTGCTCTCAGTCTACAGGTATGAGTAACAGTTAAGGATGACTGACTTAAGGTTCGAGCACAGAGGCCAAACACTTGAGACACAGAACTGAATGAGTCTGCCCGGTAAGTCAGGACAGTGTACTCTAAGGGAGAGCAGGTGATGGGGAAGTGGGGCACATGTCCCATTAGGGGCATTTGCAGTGACAGGAGCCCAGGGTGCCAAATGCAGCCGTGCACTGTGCACTGCAGAATTCCAAGGGCACCATTCAAAAGAGACTAAGCTACAAGTAGTGCCCCCTGGAGTTGTGCAACAGAGCAGCCTAGGGAGGGGCCATTAGCCCATCATGCAGGCCCATGGAAATGCAGGTCCAGCTATTAGGAGACCAAGCCCATCTTTCAATCATTCTATCAATTCATAGTGACTGGCCAACTGAGTTTCTCCTACTTGAGCATGCTTAAAAACCACCCGGCGGCTTACCAAAAATGAGGCCTCCCTAGTTCTCCCCAGAAATTCTGAATCCTCAGCTCTAGAGAGGGGCTGAGGAATTTTGTGTGTTGTTTGTTAACAACCTGCCTCTTGAGAAATAAACAAAGCAAGACTTAGGAGAAGAAAGACACTATACAGACCAAGATTATGTTACCGAGGGGAAAATGTGTATATTTTTATAGGATTTATTCCTTCTATCTCAGCTCTATTGTATTAATAGTATATTGACAGGCACCCTAGACTCTGAAATGAAAGTTGCTATGCTGACAACCTGCTAAATTTACAGCTACCATTTGCCAAAGCATAGGAAATCCACATTCTAGCCGCTAAAGGTCCCTCCTACCTACATATCAACACAGCAAACAGACACATACCTTGTGTTCCTCCTTCATCACCTGTTCAATGAGCTCAGATTTCACTGGAGGCTTTGAATACTGGCCTGAGAGAAGGCCATGTCCTAACTTAGTCCTGGCCAGGACAGGGAAACAAAAACAAAAGGTCATTGTTGTTTTCCCATGGAGATACTAAAATTATCTATGAATTTCAATAAGTACAGTCGCTTTTAGATGGAGCATTTTATCTGGATTACTCACAAATAACTTATTTATTCAATTCTGCTTGGTACTGATTCCATGTTCAAACTTTCCTTAGTACTTTATAGGTAACTTTGTTACTTTCTTTCTTCATATAAAAGTAACACATGCTAATTTTAGAACACTTTTTTTAAAAATACAGAAAATATAGAATTGCCTTTAATTCTACAACCCAGATGCAACCACTATGATCTCTTTATTGAATACTGCAAAAAAAGAAAAACAATCTGGCACTTACATCTGTGTGTTGAAGTCTTGTGTTGGATCTAAAGGTGAGTAGTCAAATATTCTTGGAAGGTTTCCTACATAGCTAGAAAACGAGAAGCAACAGTTAGAACATAGCAACTGAGAGAGGAACAGAACCAAACAAGCCATCATTCTTGCTCAGACTTCTTGCCCTTTTGTCAAAATTAAACTATCCACCCAAAGATCTCTTTTCCTGAGATCCCACCTCTACTGCCCACAAGCCTTCCCAAAATGTTTATGCTTCTATCAGTGGGTCTCAATCCTGGCTGCAAGTTAGAATCACCCAAAGAGTTTCTTTAAAAAATACCAAAGCCAGAGCCACCCCCAGATGTTCTGAGGCCTGGGATTGGGAATTCTTTCAAAAATTCCCCAAGTGATTCCAACATGTAGCCAGAGTCAAGAACCCCTGGTTTATGCCATCACAATTGCCACGATGGAAACAAATGGCTTAATCAGTGACAAGACTCTCTACTTTGGCCAAAACTTTAATCAGGCTCCTCTAAGTCCTCTGTTTGACTGGTTTTTCCTCTCTGTCCTTGTGGAATCCAGTTTGAGTAAGAATCCTACTAAGTAGGTTGAGTGAAAATCCAGCCCTGGTGTGAGACCACCCTGGCCTGCCCCCAGCAATAATCCTATCTAGTCGGGGTGGCTGGAAACCCCTTACTCTCGATGCTTCCTCTTAGTGATTTCCATCCACAGCCCAGCCCCTGCTCCATAGGTGTAAATCCCTACTTGCCCTCGCTGGAGTCGGGATCAAGTCCAATGTCTTCCCCACAGTGGTCCCTACACCTGTCGCCATGGCCACCATGAATAAAGTCTGCCTTACCATCTTTAACAAGTGTTTGTATAATTTTTTTTCTTTGACATTAGCAGTTGTTCCAATAATCTCAAAATAAATGGCAATAGCAGTGAGTGACAACTGCCATTTCCTGGGGGCTTCCTGTATTAGCTAGTTGAGTCTTCATGACAATCATATGAGGAAGCAATTATTATCAGCATTATCCCCATTTGAGAGATGAGAGATGGGAATGAAAATTCACTGGGTAGCTTCCAAAGTCTCCCAGGGAGGGAGTGACAAAGCCCAGAACAGACCCAGCAGTCTGGCTCCACAGCCGTGCTTTGAGCCACTCTGCTGGCTGCACCTGCCACTGCTGGCCCTGAGAAGCCACAATCCCTCCTCCTGGCCAGTTTATCCTGACAGGACGTCCTAACTTAGACGCTGATCTCTAATCATCATGCACGATCTCTCCTTTCTCATCTTAACCTCATTTCCTATTTCACACCCTGTACTTCATGCTATTTTTTTTTCTCCCTTCAGTCTTTGACTCTCTGAGCCTGACAGCTCTAGGAATAAGAATCCAAAAGCAGACTCCTTTCTCTGGCCCTTCACGTGTCCCACTTTGCCCTCTTCTCTGACCTCATCTGCCACCACTCTCCCCCAGCCCACAATGCCCAGCCACTTGCCCCTCTTGCTGCCCCAGGGCATGCCAAGCTCACACCTGCTTGAAAGTCATGCCTTCTGCTGTCTCTTTCCTGGGACACTCACCCTACAGACTCTTACTTGGCAGCTCCTTCTCAGATCTATTGAAAAGTCACCTCCCCAGACGTTTAGCCAAAACAAGAGCAGGCACTCCCCACCCTTCCAAACTCCCTACCACCTGCTTCTGGCTTTCTTCTTAGCATGCAATACTATTTGAAATTGCATAATGTATTTATTTGCCTGTTTAGTGTCTGTATTTCTAGAGATTACATACTAGAATGTAATCTCCATGAGGGCAAAGACTTTATTTAAATCACTACATCTCTAGCACTAGACACCCATCTAACATGTAAAAAGCATTAAATATTTGTTGAATGAATACATTCACTTCATGTAATCACATAATCAATTTTCCATAACTATCAATAACTGACAGAATAAAAGAAAAGGCATTATTACAATGAAGCCCTAGCAGAGAAATATGACACACCACCACTTAGCAATGACCTCTAGTTGGATCCCCCAAATGCTAGGAACTTCTAGACACCTCTTGTCCACAAACTCAGAAATTACAGCCTAGATTATGTACCTACATCAAAATTAACAGAGCATGCTTCTCTGGGCCAGTCCCATGCAAATGGCTTTGGATGTACCACTAGGGCAAAAATTTCATCTAGAAAATTTCAAAAGACCAGGAGCCAAATAAGTGATAAACCAAACTTTGGAGCTAAACTATACAGATACAGAGGCTACACTGAAGAATTTCTAATAATATACAACATGATGAACTCATTAGCTCTCTTATGATCTAGTTTTTATCACATCTCAAAACCTAATAAGACAAAAAACTCACTGAGAAGATGAACATTAGAGAAAAGGCTTCTACTTTAGAGCAAGATTGGAAGAGAAGAGCAGTGTTAAAAGGAGTAAATATTTGATGTCAGGAAAGCCTAGTTCGCTAGCACTGGAAACTGGTAGAAAAAAAAAAGAAAGGTCGATTTGCAAACAATTCACATTCATTTTCTAATTGATGAAGAATATCCACCATTACAATAAGACTAAATTAAAATGCAGAAGTAATGCTAGAAAATCTTTAAAATGTATATTGGACCTTCAGTTTGTAATCTAGTGATTCTCAAAAAGATGGTTTCACTACCTGTCAATTCATCTTAGTTGTCATTCAATTTGCACGCAAGCTTATTTAGATTTGATCTGCATTAAGAATTATCTGCATTTAGAATGATCTGCATTAAGAATTGTCCACAAGGTTCAAGTGACAGACAGAGCATCAAGTAATCAGGCTAATGCTCCCGAATTACACCATGGCTGCTCATAAGTCATTTAATCTTTCTATGAGTCATTCTTTCTACCTTCAAAATGAAGAAACTGTTCCTGGATCTAACTCCACTGAGTTAGAACTGCTGGGGGAAGAGAGGTTTGAAGAGCAAGCATTTCAATTCAGTGACATTTGGTCAAATAATGAAAAAACTAAAGATGGGTATGAACAGTAGGTTGTTCATGTTCTGATACATACAGTAAATGTTTAGAAAATAGAGTATAAAACATTAGATACTATAATTCTAAAACTTTGTTTTGAGACAGAGTCTCACTCTATCACTCTAAGTAGAGTGCAGTAGCATGATCATAGCTCACTGCAACCTCAAACCCCTGGGCTCAAGCGATTCTCCTGCCTCAGCCTCCTGAGTAGCTGGGACTACAGGTATGAGCCATGACACCCAGCTAATCTCAAACTCTTGAAACAAGACTAGGGAGAGATTTAAATTTTAAATTAAAAAAACACAGACACAAGGTACACTTTTTCATTAAAGAAAACAATCCAGAAAGTTAATTCTTCATCAAACTTTGGAATATAGGAAGAATTTTTTAAAACTGTAGACTGTAAACCACTAAAAATGTTGTTGGGCTTTATAACAAAAGTACACAAGTTTATTCCATTCTAGTTTAAAAGAAATAATAGATTCATTCTCTCTCCCTCTCTTTCTCTCCCACTTTCCTGAAAAAAAAATAATTATACAACACCTAACAGAAGGACATTCCTTCAACATTTTCAAAGAAAAAGATCTTGGAGCATGAGTCATATAAGATGAACCTACATTGCTCCTCCTATCAAATGATAATAATACAAGTATGAGGCATGGGTGAGAATTTATAAAAATAATACAATGCACGATGTGCACCATTGAAAAGCGTTTCCTATCTCAGAGCTTCAAACCTGCCCCGCCCTCCATGCGAGCCCTCTGCCTCCACTCCCCCCTCACATCTGTCTGAGTATGTTTCCCATCTTCAAAGGCTCTCTTTGACCACCTCCTTCCCTTTTCCTTTATAACATGCACCATGTTTCTAAGCAATCGGTTGTTCTTATGATTATTTACTCAACCCCAGTTTCTGTGAGGGGCTGTGTCTTCCCTAGGGTGGGTGCCATATCACCACTGACCCACACACACTCAGCACGCTGCTGAGCAGAAGAGAACTCACTCTGCAATGGCTAGAGGAAAAAATGAAAAACTGACATGGAAAACTAACCGTAAGTTTTCAGAGCCATAAAACAGCAAGAAGAGATAAATATTCAAACACGGAGATAGGAAGGAAAGTTTATTTGACATACTTTGGATTGGGCACTATTAAAGCCATTAGGGTTTCAACTCCGTGCGTGTAAAATGCTGCCCTGTGCTGGCGCACATGCGCCCTCTTCCACCAGAACCAAGGTGGAGACTGACCCACTTTGGAACACAGTAGAGATTATTCTCTACACTTAGGCAGTGGCTGCCCACGAGTGCACCAGCTCCTGGGCCTCCGAGGCTCCCTGTCCCCAGCACGACCTGAGGAAGAAAACGGCCCCAGACAAAGCTGCTGTGCCAGGTGTGGGAGGAGGAAGGCAGCCCGTCCCGGCTAGGAAGCGCCTCAGTTAGGGCCTCCCGAATCATCTGTGGCGAGAGCTAGCTTTTTTGTTTATGTCAACTCCTACAGATGATACCCTTAAAAAAGAGAATCAGTGCCAAATGTTTAGAGGCTTAAAAATAAAAAAAAAATAAAAAAAAAAAAGAGAATCAAGAGAAATTAGTAGAAAAATGAAATGTCAATTGTAAGACAGGGCAGCATCAAACTGCTGCAGAGATTTCTAAACACTCATTCTCAAGTTCCATGCTCATCTCGTATGGACCCATGCCAGCCGTTCACGGACTAGCTCCCGTCTATGAGCCACATTTTGAGTAGCAAAAAAACGAAAACCCTAAATCTTCAAAGAAATCCCACTCCACCAAAAGGGAGACATTGACCAAATCGCTGACTCTCTCCTAGACATCTGCAGGGGGACTGGGCAGGTTTGCAGTGAACATTAGTGATTAATTTATTCTTGGCACATATGGCGATGGCCTAAAAGTGGAAGCCACTGTTAACATAACAACCCCCCAGGGTGTTTCTCAGTTACCCATCTCTCCTTACCTCACCTGACCCCCATAACACTCGACAAGTGTTTCCACGCAGCCTCAGTATGAGGTCAGGCCACGGATGAGGTGGCCACAGGCCCTGCTGTGAAGAAGATGGAGTCCCAGCACACCGGAGTGGGCCGGGCCCGCAGGGCACTTACGCTCTCTGGAACTCGGGGATGCTGAAGATGGCCTGCATGACGGCACTGAGGTAGCAGCTGTTGCCCAGGTTCTTCAGGCCCGTATACCCGGGGCCATACATGGGCTTCAGCTTCGTCCCCGACTCCTGGATCACTTCCCACTCACTGACCCTTGGCTTCATGTCGTTGTCCCGGAGCCCGTTCTCTGTCTGAGGCAAAGTCATTGAAGAAGAACAGCTTTCATGTGATTGCCGTTCAGTGATCATGTCCCATGAGTTATTTCTAATATCATGGATGTTTCTGCCATTTTGCCACAATTACACAGAAAAATAAACAATCTAATTAAAAGAGACTGAGGTGGTGATGGTTGCACAATGATGTAATTAATGCCAGAGAATCATGCACTTAAAAATGGTTTAAATGGTAGGCTTTAGGTTATGTATATTTTGTCATAGTCAAAAAAAAAAAAACACATGAAAAAGATTTTTAAAAGAGAGAGAAAGACAGAGAGGGAAGGAGGATGAAAGACAAATAGGAATCCAAAAAAGGAGCAAGTGGACTAAATTTAAGGGAAGATCCGATGCAACACAGCAAACAGAAAGCAGGGCAGGAGAGGGGATGCAGTGTGAACCACGGCGTGGGAGTGCCTCAAAAGAGGAGGGGAGTTTAAACAAGAGCAGAGAAAACTGAATGAAAAAGAGGAAATGAGTGAGTGACAAAGAGGAGCCAAACAGAATAGGAACATGAGAGGGAGGCGGCTTGGGAGCAAAGGGCTGAAACAAAATGCACATTTAAATAGCTCCTCAGAGGGAAAAATGTTACATAGGCATGACATCAACTTGCAAACACAATATTAAATGAAGCAAAGCTTTTCCATCAATAGTAATGTGTTGGCTTATTCGTTCTGCCCCTTAGGAGATCTGCTTCCATTCCTGAAATTAATTAAAGTGATGTTGGTCACAGATCATTTTAAAGATCATCTCCTAGTACCTTCTCCCTTCAGTGAGCAAAAAGTCATTCATGTAACTGCCCGTCAAAGGAGACAGAAATTTTACAAGTAAACTTCAACTAAACCAAAGTAGTACTTGATGAGGTGCCATTTTTATTACAACATAAAAAATCTAAGCTGCTAACCAAAGGAAAACACATGTTAATTAGATTGAAGAAGTAAATGCAATAATTAAAAGTTGACACCTATAAAATGATCTATTTAGAGGAATTATTTATTAAATAAACCAAACAGTTCCCTCTCCCCCTACCACCTACCTCCAAATCCCCAACCCTCCACCCCTCACAAGGCAGGAACAGAAACAAAAGTAGACCTTCTCACCCCATGCATGTGAAGCATATCAATTCCAAAATGCGCCAAGTGCTTGGCCAAATGAGGGTCCAAAACAGGCTCCTCTTCTTGAAAAGAATAAACATCTAGAGGGTGAAAAGAAAATAAGCACAGAGATCTGTAATCAAGTCACTAAACATTCAACATAGATCTTTGGAGCTCCTACTGTATACCAGGCTTGGGATATCTGACTGAACAAAACAAAAACTCCATAACATTCGACAGGGTGAAAGAGAGATGATGACCAATAACAATACACAGATATATTTTCCTTTTGACACTGCAGAAAGCATTAAAAAAAATGTTTTCTAAAACAAGAAAAGATAAAAAGAGAACAGTATCTAAAGCGAAAATAAATTTAAATTATGCAAATATAAATGTCTAACACTTGATTTGTCTAACCCGAACTGCAGTGGCAAGACTCTAAGCTCCAGAAGAGGAAAGGGTGAGGGAGGAGGGGCAACAGCCATCCACCCATGGCATAGGAACCTAACGAGGAACACAGACAAACACAGGCCCTCAGGGTGCAGCTGAATGGCTGGTCAGGGTGCTAGTCCAAGACAAAACAAAATTCCGGTTGTGGAAATCTCTATACCCTCAGACCTACCACCTCACCAGCCTGTACCTCCCAGAACTAGTGAGAGATCTGTGAAGGAGGCTGTGCAGTGTTTCCCAGATGGGTTCACCTAGTAGTAGCACACACAGAAAACGAGGATATGCTGGGTACTCCAGGGGAACTCAGAAGGTTCCAGCCATCCCAGGCCCTGCGCCGCTGCTAGGGCCTCAGGGATCCACGTCTTGGCCATGTGTGGCACACTAGTGTCGGGAAGCTCTGTGCTGAGGTGGGCGCCTCTTTCCTCAGGATAATGATCCCACCTGACAACACAATGTTTTAGACGGAACCTGGCTTCTCAATGCGGGTATATGGTCTCAAAGCAGCAACAGTACCTGGGAGCTCATTAGAAATGCAGAATTTCGGGCCCCACGCAAGCCTACTGAATGAGAATCTGCATTTTAACAAGACTCTGGAGTGCACAGTAAAGTTTGAGAAGAACGTTTTAGAGTTTTCCATCGCTAACTGATCCACTATCCTGTCCTCCCACAGCACTGCAGTGAGAGAGACAGACATTTTCAAGCTCATCTTGCGGATAAGGAAAAGACGCTCATAAAGGGGAAATGATGAGGCCGGACGCAGTGGCTCATGCCTGTAATCCTAGCACTCTGGGAGGCTGAGGCGGGTGGATCACTCAAGATCAAGAGTTCAAAACCAGCCTGAGCAAGAGCGAGACCTCATCTCTACTATAAATTAATTCGCCAAACTAAAAGAAATTAAGAAACAAATTAATTGGCCAACTAAAATATATAGAAAAAATTAGCCAGGCATGGTGGTGCATGCCTGTAGTCCCAGCTACTCAGGAGGCTGAGGCAAGAAGGATCACTTGAGCCCAGGAGTGTGAGGTTGCCGTGAGCTAAGCTGACGCCACAGCACTCGCTCGCGGCAACAGAGTGAGACTCTGTCTCAAAAAAAAAAAAGGAAAATAAACCCAGGTAGTCTGACTCCTGCCCAATCCTCTTCCCTCTACACCAGAGTATTTCCACCAGACTTTGTGAAGCCCCATTCTGGGTCCTTAACAGGAATGAAGACTCAAAAACCATAATTTCTTCACTCCTAAATTAGAAAGACAAAAATCCATGACAAGGAAAATAGATATAAAGATAACACTCTGAGGACAGTAAAATTTAGACTATCCAAGGAGTTTCCTACCCCTTGGAACATGACCAGGAAAAAAAAAATAATGCACTTTAGCTATGATGACCTTCTGATCCACACCAGGTATGGGAGACTCACTGCTGTCCACAGTTAATCCATCCTTCTATTATAAACCAATTAAACATTGTATAGCTTTCTTTTCTACTCCTCTTCCCCTAGGGGCCCCATATAACTTGTGATAGCAGCCCTCATTTACAGTTTTTTTAAATAAAAGAAGTATTCTCAGAAGCAAAAGAAAAAAATCCAGACCCAATTTTTTAAATTTCCAAAAAGATTAAATACCAAAAAAACCTAAAAATCTTTGAACTGTAACTTGAAACAAATACATCAACAGTATTTTAAATCTATGACAAGTGACAGAAAAATATTGCTCAAATACTAGTTGGAAGGTAAAAATGGCATTCCCTAGGCACTTTAACCTTAGTTATTAATTAGTGAGATAGTTGGAAGACTTGAGATTGTAAGCCTCTAATTAACGAGCTCTGTTAGAAAATAATAAAATTGCTAGAACTGCACCATTGGCATTGGCTGAGGATTTTGAAATAAGTGAACATCACACATCCAGCCATTGTTCTTAATTCATTAGGCCAGGGGTCCTCAAACTTTTTAAACAGGGGGCCAGTTCACTGTCCCTCAGACCGTTGGAGGGCTGGACTATAGTTTAAAAAAAACTATGAACAAATTCCTATGCACACTGCACATATCTTACTTTGAAGTAAAAAAAACAACAGGCAAAACATCCGCATGTGGCCCGCGCGGCTGTAGCTTGGAGTACACTGCATTAGGCTCTGGCCACATTAAGAAGATAATATTTCGTACCTCCCATCACTGCAAAGATACCACATGATTTGGTCAAACACTACAGTTATTTATTATCCCAATGACAAAAACAGTTTAGTGAGTAACATACAAGAAACCTAAAAATGAACTGTGATCCCACTGGCAATCATGAAGAATTTATAAATATGTAGTAATAGAAAAAATGTTAAGTGGACTCAGTGGCTGCAAATGCTACCTTATGTGTTTTTCACTGGGAAACTCATTTTCTCTCCAAGTCTGGTTTAGCAACATCTGGTCTTGGCTCAGAAACTATGGCAGCAAACAAACAATGCTTGATAAGCATTACCCTTCATGCTCAACGACTTGGCTTAAAACTTGGAGTAGAGGCTGAGCACGGTGGCTCACACCTGTAATCCTAGCACTCTGGGAGGTCAAGGAGGGCGGAGTGCTCGAGGTCAGGAGTTCGAACCCAGCCTGAGCAAGAGTGAGACCCCATCTCTACTATAAATAGAAAGAAATTAATTGCCCAACTAATATATATAGAAAAAATTAGCCGGGCATGGTGGCGCATGCCTGTAGTCCCAGCTACTCGGGAGGCTGAGGCAGAAGAATCGCTTGAGCCCAGGAGTTTGAGGTTGCTGTGAACTAGGCTAACGCCACGGCACTCACTCTAGGCTGGGCAACAAAGCGAGACTCTGTCTCAAAAAAAAAAAAACTTGGAGTCGAGAAACACAGTTAGGAAGTTCACAGAGGGATTGTCCCACAAATAGCCAAGCTGCTGAGTAACTACGTTCATTTTAGAAGTAAACCAGTCATTGTACATTTCAAGTTAAATGACAAACTAGACCACAGAGAACATGATGCAGCCATCCACAGAAAAGAAAAATGAAAAATTTTAGAACAGGAATACCCCATTCGTGTGATCAGCATATTAGAAAATAGCACGTGCAGTAAGTGTAAAGATTAAGGAAAAAGAGAGTAGAGACTGAGACTGAAACTGAAACTGAGAATCTGTAAGGAATCATTTCAAAATAGTAATAGTCATTTGCAGTCTATATAGGAAGACTTCTTATTTATTTTCTGTTGTTTTCTAAATTTATTTTGATTGAAAAAAATGTTTTATAAGTAATTCTCAAAGGTCAAAATGATTCTATTGGATGGTATGCTATTAGGACCAGTGTGCCTGCCACTGGCCACCCTTGTTCAGCCACCCAGAATAACTCACTCTTTCAGCGTACTCAACATATATTTGCTGAACACCAAACATATACAGATACTAAGGATATAATGTTAAATAAGATAAGCAGAGTCTCTGCCTTCATAAATTTAAAGTTTAATATTTCAAATAGTCTTAGAAGAAATGCTACTTTGATGTGAAGGACCCCAACAGATGTCTTCTTGGCTATGGTCTAGTCATGTGACTTCAGTCTCTTTTTCTAAGTCCCAGAAAATGGCAAACGTCTAAATCCTCCCTCAGATTCCACACAGGGAAGCAGAAGGGAGGAAGGGATGAAGCGGGACCTCAACAACTTCTTGCATTTAGAAAGAGAAACAAAACCAGGGAAGCCAGTGTGGCTGCCCTGCTCACAGCTCAAGCGGAGAGAAAGCAAGGCTCCTGCTGGTCAAAGACGAGTCAGAGGAGAGGATGAGGAAAGGTTCTCCTCAGAGGAAGTGCTGATCTCTCCACCACGAGCTTACATTTCTGTGCATATAAGCCAGGCGTCCTCAAACTACGGCCCACAGGCCACATGCGGGTGTTTTTGCCCGTTTGTTTTTTTACTTCAAAATAAGATATGTGGCCGGGCACGGTGGCTCACGCCTGTAATCCTAGCACTCTGGGAGGCCGAGGCCAGCGGATTGCTCGAGGTCAGGAGTTCGAAACCAGCCTGAGCAAGAGTGAGACCCTGTCCTTACTATAAATAGAAAGAAATTAATTAGCCAACTAATACATATGAAAAAAATTAGCTGGGCATGGTGGTGCATGCCTGTAGTCCCAGCTACTTGGGAGGCTGAGGCAGAGGATTGCTTGAGCCCAGGAGTTTGAGGTTGCAGTGAGCTAGGCTGATGCCATGGCACTCACTCTAGCCTAGGCAACAAAGCGAGACTCTGTCTCAAAAAAACAAACAAACAACAACAACAACAACAAAAAAAATAAGATTATGTGCAGTGTGCATAGGAATTTATTCATAGTTTTTTTAAACTATAGTCCAGCCCTCCAACGGTCTGAGGGACAGTGAACTGGCCCCCTGTTTAAAAAGTTTGAGGACCCCGATATAAGGAATCTGCCACCACTGGGGAAAGAAATGAGAGAATACTCCACCAACTACACTAGAAAAATATATGCAAAATGAATGAGGTTGACAAGTATAGTCACTTTAAAGTGACAATAGAACTCCCAGGCCAGACAAAACCTAGATTGTAGTCAGGAAAGGAAAACAGGTAGGAGTAAAAAGACAGCAATAAAATAGAAAAAAAGAAAGGTGAATCAGAGAAGCAGATTTTGTTGGTGTATTTTCCTCCATTTGTTTATTCTAA